TCTATGGTCACCAGGGACATTAGCCTGTAATTTTCTTTCTTTTTTTTTTTTTTGTAGTGGCTTTGTCTGGTTTTGATATCAGGGGAGTGCTGGCTTCATAGAATGAGTTTGGAAGTGTTCCTTGCTCTTCAATTTTTTGGAATGGTTTGAGAAGAATAGGTACTAATTCTTTTTTAAATGTTTGGTAGAATTTACCTGAAAGCCATGTGGTCCTGGACTTTTGTTTCTTGGAAGTTTTTTGATTACTTATTCAATTTCATTACTAGTAATCAGTCTGTTCAGATTTTCTATTTCTTCCTCACTAAGTCTTGGAAGGTTGTATGTTTCTAGGAATTTATCCATTTCTTCTAGGTTGTCCAATTTGTTGGCAGATAGTTGCTTGTAGTAGTCTCACGATCCTTTGTTTTTCTGTGGTGTTGGCTGTAACTTCCTTCATTTATTATTTTATTTATTTAGGCCCTCTCTCTTTTTTTTCTTGATGAGTCTGGCTAGAGGTTTATCAATTTTGTTTATCTTTTCAAAGAACTGACTCTTAGTTTCATTGATCTTTTGTACTGTTTTTTGTCTCTATTTCATTTATTTCTGCTCTGGTCTTTATTATTTCCCTCCTTCTACTAACTTTGGGTTTTGTTTGTCCTTCTTTTTCTACTTCCTTTAGGTGCAAGGTTAGGTTATTTGTTTGAGATTTTTCTTGTTTCCTGTGGTAGGCCTGCATTGCTGTAAACTTCCTTCTTACAACTGCTCTTGCTGCATCCCACAGATTTTGGAATGTTGTGTTACCATTTTCATTTGTCTCAAGGTATTTTTGATTTCCTCTTTAATTTTTTTCAATGACCCATTGGTTGTTTAGGAGCATGTTGTTTAGATTCCACGTGAGGAAATAACAAATATTTAATTTTATTTTTCATATTATGTGCTTGCTCATTTGTCCCTTATTAGGACAAACGAGCAGCCTTATCTTCCTCAGGCAGAAACTTTTAGGGCAGTAGTTTCTAAAGATTTGGTTCCAGGACCGTATCACTGCCACTAAAGTCTTAAGAGAGGCAACTCATTGAATACACACCTTGTTTGTGATTCACTAACAGCTTGAGTCACAAATGAGGTGATAACTGTTTTTGATAAGGCATTACTTTTTATCAGGAACACCTTTAGAACATTATTATTTAGAAAGCAATGATAACATGTGAACTGATAGAAGCGAACTTAGAGAGCATCTTATGCAAACTTGTCATGTGATAGATGAGAAAACCAAACCACTTTGTTCAGGATTACACAGCTGGTTAGCAGTGGGATTCTTGTAGTCCAGGCAGCTTGACTGGTAAACTATACCACAAAATCCAATGATCAATTTATAATGGACCCTAGAATGTAGAATACCATGTAGGTACCCTGAGGCAGAGGATACATGTTATAGTTATCACTATTTCCCTATTGCCTAGAATATTGCTTAGAGTATTATATAAATATTCAATAAATAGTTGTTAGATGCTTGACCCTGAACAAATATCATGGATCACTCTGAGAATGCCTAGGGTTTAGCAAATGCACTTTTGTAACATAACATTCAACATTCATTCCATTAGTGTTTGTTGAAGACCCAACACATGACGAGCACTGGACTAGCCTCCAGGGCTACAGCTGTGGGCAGGAGTGGGTACGGTCTCACTCTTCACAGAGCTTGCAGTCTCATTGGGGTAGCAAAAGAAACGGAAAAATACAGGTAGATTACGAAAGTAACGAGTGCTATAAAGTAAAGGAACAGTCTCTGAAGACCCACGATAAAAGGATCTGACTGGTCAGGGAGGCCAGAGAAGGCTCCTCGGAGTCAGAGGGCTCTGCTTTGAGATGTCAGGGAGGAGGCATTGACTGGCGAAAGGAAGGCGGCACCATTTGTTATGTTTGTTTATGCTGAGAGTGAAGATAATCACTGAAGGGTTTTAGGAGTGTGTGTGTGTATGTGTGTGTGTGTGCAAGAGACACGATCAGAACTGACATTTACCAAGAATCCTTTCCACTGTAGTATGGTAAATAGTTTGGGGAAAAACGGCAGTGGATTAGAGCCTCAAGGTCCTTAAAGTAGACATTCAAGCCCAGACAATGGAGTTAGAGATATCCCAGAGGCCTGGGGATGGAATAGAGATGGGGGATGAAGAAAAGAAAGGGGCCAAGGATTCCTCCTTATTTCTGGCTTGAGAAGATGGATGAATTTCGGCGCTGTGTCTTCTCTGAGGTAAAGAGTAAAAGAGAGTGATCAGGTACAAAAACCAGGGTGGCGATCATGGTGAGGAGGTGGGTGTTGAAGATCACGATAATGATGGATTTAAGATTTTCTTGAAAAATTAGACTGCTCTCGAAAATTCTGGATTTGACTTTATGGTATTCTGAAGTCTTTTATAGAGTTATACACAGATTCTTTCTATTCAGGTCAAGGTCTTTGAGTGCAATCACAGAGTGATAGATGGGGGAGGCAGGCAGGAGAGCATCCTGTTCATTTTAGAGTGGAGGAAACTGAGGCCCAGAGAGCTAAAATGCCTTCCCTTAGGGCCTCCAGTGGATTAGTGACAGAACTGGAAGCAGAAGTGCATCCTGTCAGCACAGGGCCTTTGCACTGCACCAACTGCCTTTTAATCTCCTCATTCTTATTGCTGAATAAAACTTGAATTTTTAACATTCAGTATTTGGATTGAGTTCAGGTTTGGGAAAAATATGATGAGAAAAAGAAGAAGAATCCTTTCTCCCCTCACTTTTACTGAACATCCTTAAGCCCCCCTGGGGATCTGGAGGTTGGTGAGATTCCTTTTATACCAATCCACCACCTGTTTGGGACCAATAGACTTTAATTAGAAACCAGTATTTTATCTCATATTTCAGACTCACATTCCAGAAATGTGTCATGCCAGCATGTGGCCCAGGCTGGCACTCTGCAAAATATTGTTTCACCATGGAAGAACACCTAGAAATGTTCTGTTTTGCTAGTATTGTGGAAATACATTTATGATCTAGAATTCTTGGAAAATTTTGACTGCACAATATTTGCATTTTTTATTACAATAAAATTATTCTGCTAGAAAGACATATGTACCTCCTCTCTGGCTATGTCTAACGTGGCAGAGTTGGGGGAGGCAGAAATGTGAGGTAGTTACCCAGGTAAGTCAGTGAAAAATGTGTTTACTTCCCCAAGAGTTGAAATATTTCATATTTGTCCAAAATAAAAATCATAAGTTATAATTCTATTCTTTTCTTTAGTACTATATATTCAATCCTTGAAATCATGCTATGACCTGGCTGAGCTGATTACTTTAAAGATTATCTTCAAGTAGATTGGTCCAATTTGATTAATTCTTTACTGGAGTTTTTAAGAATCATCTAGACAATGGCTGATTTTATTATGCTTCTGCTTTCCCTTAGCCAAAAGGAAGGCCCGTATAACAAATAGACGTTTCTGTTTGAAATAGGTGGATGTCTGAATTTTCCTTCAGGACTCCTCCTCTGGGCCAAGGTCAGGCTGGGCCAGTGTACACTGTTAAAAAAGAGACAACGGGCCCAAATGGAATCACTTGTGCTAAACCCTGCGTCAGCAAACCAAGACTTAACATTAACCTAATTGTAGTTCCAACCTGCCCCTGAGTGTAAGCTTTGCCCAAGAACCTGGGATTCCCTGGTCAGCACTGGTAAGGGAAGCTGCCTTGTATACCCCTCCCGTTCCCTCGAGGAGGGCCGCCTTACCTGCGAAAACACATTCTTTACTAACAATTTCCTTCTCCACCCCCTCTCTGCCTTGAAGACTTTTCCCTTTCTGTAGCTCTTTGGGGTGCCCTTCTACTTGCTGGGTGGGATGCTGCCCGATTCGTGTTCAGTAAAGCCAACTAGAGCCTCAGATTTACTCAGTTATGTAACAACACACACACTTTCCAGGGTTGGCTGCACTGTAGGCTGAGTAGGCAGTTGTCAAGTAAGGTGAACTGAGGGACACTAGGAGGATCCGAGGCCCCAAATGTCTTAACTTTCTGTCCCCAGGATGGCACTATTTGTGCATTGTTCCTTTGCATAATCAATTTTTTTTTTTTAAAGATTTTATTTTTTTCCTTTTTCTCCCCAAAGCTCCCCGGTACATAGTTGTGTATTCTTCGTTGTGGGTCCTTCTAGTTGTGGCATGTGGGACGCTGCCTCAGCGTGGTTTGATGAGCAGTGCCATGTCCGCGCCCAGGATCCGAACCAACGAAACACTGGGCCGCCTGCAGCGGAGCGCGCGAACTTAACCACTCGGCCACGGGGCCAGCCCCATGCATAGTCAATTTTTAATGGAACCCAATAGATTGGCATATATTTTTAGATAGAACCTAATAGATTGATATAATATCATCTCATGCCTTTATCAGCAAAAAGGAAGGTTGCATCTTATTAATGTAGCTTGGGAACAGGTGATTGATATGTGATAATGGGGTGCTAAAGGGGTCACTGGGAATGCAGCAAGATATCAACATCACCTGCTTCCTAAGTTTTCCCAGCACTGGGGAGCTATAGCAACAACTTAATGCTTCAGTTGGGCATTCATATTGCTGTGACACCACAGTGATGTCAGAAAGTATGCTTACTCTTTACAGAGGGAGTGTGAAATATTTGGTATATATGTTTACTATTTTAGGTCTCATCTAAAGCCGTGGGGTCTTGTGGATTCCAGTGTCCTAAGCTGAAGACTGGAGCTTTGAATTTCTTGGTCCTGTCACCATTCTTTTTCTTACCTTAGCAACTCCAGAGTGCCTCATTTTATTTTATTTTTTACCTTTTTTTTTGAGGAAGATTAGCCCCGAGCTAACTACTACCAATCCTCTTCTTTTTTCTGAGGAAGACTGGCCCTGAGCTAACATCCATGTCCATCTTCCTCTACTTTATACATGGGACGCCTACCACAGCATGCATGGCTTTTGCCAAGTGCTTGGTCCCATGTCCGCACTGGCGATCTGAACTGGTGAACCCCGGGCTGCTGAGAAGCAGAATGTGCGAACTTAACCGCTGCGCCACCGGGCCAGCCCCAAGAGTACTTCATTTTATGTCACAGTTGTAGTGATCATATATTTTTTCCAGCTTTATTGAGGTATAAGTGACAAATAAAAATCGTATATATATAAGATGTACAACTGGATTTTTTATTTTGGCTTCACGCTACCTTTATTCATCCCTCTCACCACCTGATGCCAACAGCAGACTGGGACTGACCAGGGGCCGGGGGACCCCTGAGAACACAGGAGAGGAGGCAGGGCCTTGGGAGAGACAAGGGGCAAGACAGGCCTCCCAGAGACCTGAGCACAAGTGGGCCAATGCAGGACGGAACTTGAGGCCCTGGTGCTGCTGCCATGTGAGGAGACCTGACCCCAGTGCTGGGAGAAGGCGGACAGTGGGGGGATGTTCTGCTGGGAGTGAGGCCTTCCTTTTCTGGGAGCAGGGCCACTGGCAAAAGGCGGGAGATTCAGACTGAGACAAGGCCGACTGGAGAGAGCGTCAAGGTATCCCCTGCCGCTAGAATGGGGCTCAGGGAATAGGGCAAGTGTTTGAGAGCGCTGCCTTCGGCTGCAGCTTAAAAACCTGAGGTTAGGCTCACATGAAGGGGGTGCCACAATTCTCCTGGAGGTGGAGGAGGGACAGAGTTTCTGGCAGAGGGAGATGGTTGGAGAGCTACCATCGCCAGACCCCAAGATCAGGCTAGCAGTTGGCGGGGGTTGGCCTCTGGCTCCCTGGGGTCAGAGGGGCCCAACACCCTGACTGGAGTCTGGCCTTGTCTCATTCCTGCTTTGAATACCTAGTAAAAGAATGCATTCAGATGTGAGCAACAGAAAACTCAACTCAAATGACCTGACATTAAGGGAAAATTATCATCTCTGATAAGGAGCTTAGAGGAAGAACAGGTCTGTGGGACGTTAATTCAGTGGCTCTACAGATTACCAAGGGTCGAGGCTTTTCATCACCTTTTCTCTCTGCCATCCTCAACATGCTGCCCTTTGTTCTCAGACTTGCTCTTTCATGATTGCAAGATGGCCTATGCATCTCACACAACATTGTGTAGAGGCTGGAGGAGGAAAGAGAGCTTGTTCCTTTTCATGTTCAGTCTTAAGAGGGAGGAAAGTGTCCCCAGGAGAACTAGCAGCAATCTCGTGTCTTTTGAGCCTGAGCTGCAACTTATGCTCTTCCGGACCCACTCACTGGCAAAGGAATTGGGATCGCCTGACTCGGAGAAGGCCCGTCTTCCCTGAGCACACAGCCACGCCATGCTCAGTTGAGCTGGGGTTCTGGAGCAAGGAGCGAGTGGAGGTAGGCAACCAACAGCTGTCTGCCATGGGCTTCCAGTCCTGACAGTCTGGAGAATTCCACACTCTGGTCAAACTGTTCAGATGATTGCATCGTGCCAAGAGCTTCCATTTTGCTTTAAATGAGGCCGCTTACGGACAGAACAGGGCATCAGAGATGGGACCTCAGGTGCCAATTCTGCTCGTGTGGTTTGGTCTCAAGCCTGTCTAGGTCTGACTTTATGTTTGTGCAAAATAGGGGGATGGGTATATGACCTCTGCCATTTCTTCCAGTGCTATCTAAGCCTTCCCGCTTGTTTAAGTGATCTAACTGATAACAAACTCTCAGAGAGGAGCTTCTGGTGGACGAGGTGTTCCTGGTGGCGTGTTTTTCATCCAGGTGCTGCTGTGTGTAATGGAACTAGTTTCACAGACCCAAGTTTTCTGGCTCAACCTTCCAAGCTGCTTCAGCTTCAAAACCTGACCTTCCTCGGTGAGTCTGAGGCGATTAATACTGGAGACCTGCTACTAACTTGTGAGGTGGGTGACCTAGAGGCAAAAATCTTATTGAGTTTAGTTTTATAAAGGGAAGGCTTGTGGGAGAAGCAGTTGTGCTCACTTAGGCTAATAGGTTAGGAAGATCCAGTAATTCTGGAAAATGTGCCTTTGCATGATTAGAGAGCAGACCAGTGAAAACTACAAAATAAATGTGAATGGCATAACTGAGTTTTGAGTTTTAAGATGTATGATGTATTGAATTCTAACTATTTAAATAGAATTAAGATAGAAATACACTATGTAAAATTTTAACCTTCTCTCATCCTTTTTTCCTATAAGGAAAAAATATCTAACAGAAATAGAAAGCAAACAAGTTAAAAAAACAAAAAAAAGGAACTCATTTCCAGTAAAGGAAATATGTAACAAGTAGTTACAGAAATGTCTATAAAGGTTTCAATTTTTTCAGGTTATGGTGCACATTCCCAGACACATTGCTTAATAATGATTATCTTGGACACAGTCAGGTTTTTCTTGTCACTGTTTGCTTCTTTCCATGAAGCAAACATCTGGGGGAAATGTCTTAAACTGGATACTTTACTTCCTAAAAATAATAAAACACAGAGTTTTACATCCTTTCAATTTTTTGGTACTAAGTAAATCTATGTTCTCATATTGCATCTGTAGTTTGACTCCTGCTTCATCTCTATATGAAAGTTTCTTTTAACGTGGTTATTTGAAGAAATAATTTATTAATAAGTATTTGAGCATTTAGTGGAATGTAGAACAAACCTCTAGTTACATGCCCAAAGTTTTAAACTTTCTCTGGATGCTTGATATTGTGTAGGTCTATATAAAATATAATAGATTACGATAATACGGTTGATTTTTAGTGTAAATCACGCCTAACCCACAAGCGGCACTTATCAAATGAGTGAATAACAGTTTCAAAGAAATGAGAGCCTCATCAATGTTTTGTGAGTACGTGGTGCTGTAATTATTTAAGTCTACCCATTAGAGTATCAGCTCAAGTTTTGGGAGAAAATTGAACCATTTGGAGCCACTAAATTCCCGGTAGACAAGTTGTCGCTGCTATGCTGTGGCTAGAAGTCTCCGGCATCTGCCTGAAGGCTGCCGAAGCTAGAGGAATCCAGCAGTTCTTTGGTCCCTGCTGGGTTTCAGATGGACTGTCATAGACACTCAGATGAACTACAGATATCTTCTCCAGCAGCAGATGTTATATGTAACAAAACCCAAACCAAGTCAAAACTATGACTTGAACACAATTTATAAACATTGCCTTTACATTTTGCTAAAGTTATCTGTGTTTTTGTTATATATTGCTAGGGGGCAGGGTTAAAAGTCCTATGACATTCATTCTAAATTAACAGCTGGAAAATGCTCAGAAATTGACAAAGCGTTACATTCTTTTTTAAAATTTCTTGTTCAGTAAATAACTGATAAATTTTCTAGTTGGCAAAAATGAAGAGCTGATCAAGATGCTATTATTAATAACAGTATTGTTATGAATAAAAATACGATTTTAGTTTGAAAACATTTTCTTAATCTTTTCCAAGCCCTTTTGTAATTTGCTGAAGCTGATGGTTGAAAAATAAAAGACAATAAAATAATTACTTTGTCTACCTAAGACTCATCATTTTCCCTGAGATAATGGTTGTTTTGATGCTGTGAATAATAAACTGAAAAAAGAAAACAAGTATTTTGAGAATCTGTTATGAACCAGTCCTTTTCAATGAATCCTGGGGGCGATATGCAGTATTCTCCTCATTTTAAAAAGGAGGGAGGTGTGGCTTGGGATGGTTCAACCGTTTGCTCCAATTCTCCCCACTGACAAGTGGCAGTCCTAGGGTTGAGCACGCATTTGTCTGCCTCCAATGCCTCACTCCTTGACATGCCGTCCAGACAGAGCGTGGGGAATTTTGCCTCTATCACCAATGCTCTGAAAGAAACTCAACTCTGTCAGTCAGACATAAGCTCCTGTGTGTTGCTTTTCTTCCAGAGATCTCCAATTACGGATGAACAATCTGGTGTGATGGTTACTATCTCATGCTTATTAAACAGAGTCGCACAGTCTTTGGGGCAGTGGAGAGAGGAACAATTGCAGAGCCAAGGGATGTTCCCAGAGCATGGAAGCCGTTCTCAGAAGCCTGCCGAAAGGAAGCTTCTGCAGCGTCCTCTACGTCCCGGCAGTGAAGGTGCAATTTCTAGGTCTAACAGTTGCCTCTTTCAGACGTTTCTGAAGCTGTGGTCTCTTCCAAAATATGAAAAATTATATAAGGCAGTGAGAAATAGTTTACTCTTTCTTTAAGGACTGTGAAAGTTTCTTTTCAAAGTGTCATAGGGTCTTAGAGGGCAATGCCCCGCTGTGTAATTTCAGTGTATATGAAAGTTTGGAAAGTAGCAAGGCAAAATGTTTGTGCTGTGTTGATTAGACCACAAACAGTAGAAAGTTCGAGTAAGGCTGGTGCCAGACACGTGAAGCAAAGCCGGCTTGGTGTCTACACGAATTAGGTGCATTGTAAAAAAATTCACTAATCTCAAACTTTTAATTCTTCATCCTTGAACGTTTTAATCATCTGTTCTAGCCATTACTGCGTGTTTGTGTGTGCTCTTATGTGTATGTAGGTGCGTGTGTCATGTGAGTGTGTTTTTTGTGTCTATGTATGTGCTTGTGTAGGGGTGTGTGTAGGAGTATGTGTCTGTGTGTGTGCATGTATGTGTTTGTATACGTATGTGAGTATTTGTATCATATAGTTGTGCTTTTGTGTGTATGGATGTATATACATGTGTGTATGCGTGAATCTGTATTTGTACGCGTGTAGGTATGTGTTTGTGTGTATATATGGTATGTACGTGTGTTTCTGTGTGTGTATATGTGTATGTGCATGTGTGCATCTGTGTGTATATGTGTATGTGCATGTGTGTAGGTAGGCGTGTTGCGCGTCTATGTATGTATGCGTGTGTATGTGTGTATGTATGGGTGGACGTATGTGTATGTATATCTGCATGTGTTTGTGTGATGTGTATCTATGTGTGTTTGTGTCTACGCATATCTGTGTGTGTGTTTGTATGTGTGTGTACTCACCTTGCTTTGCTTTACTCAGGCTCCCTCTTTGAATTCAAATGCCCTAATGGATCTTTCCCTAGACATTTTCAAGGCAGTTTCCTGAAGATGATCTTGCTTCCTCTTCATTGCGAAGGCTGTTACATAGGAAATTGTAGAACCTGCTGTTTTTCCATAAATGTTGAAAATTCCACACACAAGTAGGTGGAGCACTCGACTTGGAGTCAGAAGACCTGAGTAAAGCCTCATTTCTGCTACTGCCTCATGGTGTCAACCTGACAAGTTTTCTTTTTCTTCAGGCGCCATTCAAGAGGAGTGGACAAAGACCGAAGGTCCTGCCACTGTAAGCATCTCGTCAAACGTCATTGCGCATGGTGGGTGGGAGATCAGGGGAGCAGTGAGCGTGCTTTACTGTGGCCGCTGGCTTTGTTCCTGATGATCCTCAGGGACTCTAGACAACTGAGAGTTGATTCTAATTTTACAAAACCTGCAAATTTACAAAAATGACCCATTACATCTTCTGCTAAAACTGAGATCCTGTAATCATACCCTAAATATGCGTAAAATAAATATATTATCTTCTGTAAATTCAAAGTTTAAAAATAATTTAGTAAAAAATAAGTTATTAATTGTTTATTAAATAAGAAAAACTACCAGCAAAACATAGCATATTCCCACTCATAAAATATGAACTAGAAATATGTGGGAGCATTGAAGACTGCATGGCGAAGGCATTTTTGCTATACGATGTCCATTGGTACAAACGTTTCCTAGATTTATAGAAATAGTGAAAGCGTTTTTTAAAATTTCAAATTCTTCACAGGAAAAATAAAAATCATATTGATATTTGCTTTCTAGCCACCATTGGTGAGGAGATAACTGGAGGCGATAAACCCTTCTTTAGCATATTATGGCTCTGACACAGGTTAATAAAATAACACCTGAACATTATATAGAATTTAACATTTTCAAAGAGACCTTGCTATAGCAGGTGCTCAAGAAATATTTAGATTCAGATGTAGTTAATTTTTGAGTCAGTGTTAGACACCAGGTGAGAAACTGCATCTACATTCATCTAATAATTTAGGTGTATTTTTTGTTCCAGTTTTATAGATAAGAGAGTAGAAGAAATGAAATCTAAGTGATGTTGTTTACTTTAGCCACTAGGAATCTTAGCACCTAATTTAAAACCCCAACTGGTACCCATAGCATATACGTTTTGTAGATTACTTTATTCATCTTTTCTTACATTTTTCGTATCCACGTTATTTTTTAATCTGTTTTATATCTCTGTAAATCACCTTGTTCCCTGTTTTTCTTTGGTTTTTGATTCTGTTTTTAAAAGGAGAGGAAATCAAATTGATGGAGTAAGTGATAAATGATGGTAGCCTTTGCCTGAGCTCTTGTTCTGTTGCTGGTCTTCCAGCCTCAGAGCCAGGCTGGAACCCAGCCTACCTGCTTCCCTTCCTTGAGGGCTAGATTCTGAATGATCACGCAAACATCAAGTGGGATTACTCTTTTAAAAACTGCAACTCCACCCTCAAATAATTCACGAATGAGTTGGTGGGGAAGAAAGAGAAGAGGAAAAATTGAAAGGGAAAGCAAACATGCTAATGGAAGGAGAAGCCATTTAAGCAGCATTCAGGAACAGGGAGGGAGCCATCCCAGGCTTGCCTCCTTTCTTTGCTTCTCCTGTCAATCCCCTTGAAGTCTGCAGCCTTGAAGTCAGAGACCAGACTCAACTTAAATGGAGTTAAAGGAGAGAAGGCAAGTCTGGTCACGCAAGTCTCCAGATCAGGGGGAGTTTCTTCCAAATGGGGTAATTTGGTTAACAAGTGGCACTTTTCCAGACATCAAAAGGCAGACGGGAGTGGAAAAAAAAGCACCAAATGCACTTAACCAACCTAATTGAACGTATTTTGTCAACAGGCTGCTGTGAGACCTTCTGCTATAGACACCAGCTTGCGCAGCAGCAGCTCAGACTCAGTCGGTGCAGCTGCAAACTCAGAACGTGTCAAGTCTAAAGTGGCGAGACGCTTCCTGAACCACACCACAGACCCGGTGTCATCAGTCGCAGTTGTTCTCTGTAATTGGCACCTCTCTGTTTACGCAACTCCACGTATACCAGACAACGTGATTTTCAGTTTACTGACATTCTCTAGAGTAAGAAAAAGAGAGAGAGAGAAATGACTGAAAAAATTGCCTTCCATACAGGTGTTTCTTGATTGTGTTTGTTAAAGATATAAATAAGTGAATGAACAATAAATGATGAAGCCAATAAAATAGATATTCTTGACCAAGGGCCTGATGCAAAAATGTTGTACAATTTTTGTTAGAGAGAGAGGCTCCTAATTTGGTCAGAGATATAACCTATCTTTTAATGCAGAAGTGCCGTATAACAGAGGTTTAGTGATGTAGAAATTTGGAAAGCTATGACTTTGGATGTTATTTTTACTAGAGAGAACCAACATCATACAGGATCAATTATAACACTGAGAATATTCCTCTTAGAAAACAGAGAAGGATCTTTGTTTTCTATAGATAAGCAAATGAATATTGCTGCTTATAGTGTCTGCCAGCTTGGAAAGAAGTGTAAGCCATGAGCTCAAGCACAGGCTCACTGGCTGCTCAGAGGAATGTGGGCAGCAAGGGTGCAGGGAGTGCTCAGCCATATTGCTTGAAAGCCCGGACAGTCAGAAGGGAGGCTGCGAGTCATGCAAGCACAGCAAGCGTCCATGCGGGGTCTTCCAGAGGCAAAGGAGGAGTGGGAGGTATGAGAAAAACATTTTAGGGTCGTGCAGGGGAAGACTGAAGGAGAGGCTCTGGCAGAAACGATCTAAACTACATAACGGGACAGGATAAGACGAAAGTGCAGCCGCACGTGATTTTGAATGCTGTGCTGCAAATAGACAGTTTGAGGACTGCAGGGAGGGTGGAAGGGCCCAATATCACTAACAGCACCGCAGCTAATTCTTTGTTATTTTAGTGACAAGAAACAGAAAGAAGGAAAGGAATAGAGAAGACTCAGTTCCTGATTTAGCCTCAGATTACACAAAATTTTTCACCTATTTGACCAAGTTTTTTTAAACATAATAAAATCGATGGGTTTAAGTGTCATGCGTTTGACCATCTCTCCTTGACAAGGAGACAAAAGAGCCCAGAAATTTTAGAGGGCTGGAGGGATCAGAGGAGAGGTAAGGAGGTGAGGAACACTGGGAACCTGGAGACTTGAGGAGGAGCCGGAGGATGGAGGTAAACAGGCCTGGACCCCCGGGGAGTCAGTGAGTTTCTCTGAGTTTCTCCTCTGCCCTGGGCTCGTCTCTTCTTTGGCTCATCGTCTGTTCACACATCAATACTTACTCCACCTCAGCTGTGGGGACGCACTGCTCTGGCGTCCATCAGGGATACCACAGTGAAGACGGGAAGAAATTCCAAGGGTTCTAGGGACTGTGGGACAACTGACATAATTTTACCTATTTTTCTGGATCGTAATTGCTAGCAAGTGGAATGTAGAGGCGTTATTAGATAGGTGAGTTGGCTAGCTGTGGCTGGCATGGAAATCCCTTATTCAGAGAAAGTTAACTAGGTTTGTCAGGGGTGAATTGTTGAGTGATTTGCAATCGTGTAGGGCCAGAAAATTCAGAACTTGCTTCCTTCTAAACTCCTACTAGATTCCCCACTTGCCCCACCCCAAGGCAGGGCGGGTGGGCGTGGGGGGGCGCACCGCATGCCACGCCACCCTCTCTTCTGTTGTCCTGGTTGTTGAATTCAGAAGAAAGAGTAAGGAAGACTTTGAAGGGTTTATCATAGTGGGCAACAGGAACTGCTCAATTTAACCTGTTGTCCTTTCCCTTAATTTTAAAATTACAATTCTTGCGCTTCAAATGGACTTTGATCTCTTTTCTAACTAGTCTTTGCAGAAGCACAGTCTGGATAATTTGTGTCTAGTGTACATCCTATTGATACACATGTCAGGTGTACACACACCACTTACTGGGTTAGCCTGATTTGTCATTACTGGATTATGTGTCTAGCCTAGGGCTGGGCTGGACAGGAGACAGAGTACTTCCAGGTTTTCTTCTGCTGGCCAAAAACGCCTGCGCCACCGGACTTTGAGTCTTTGATTTTTCTTGTTCAAATCTTGCTTCACTTTATTTGTGAGCTGAATTCTTTTTCTATCCCATTCTATCACATACAGTTTATTTCCATTCTCTTCTGAAAGACATTTTAGAAGCTATCTTTCATTTACTTAGAATTTGCAAATATTTAAGGCAGTGTTCCTCAAACAGCTAGAGTGAAGGGGTTTTTAAGTTGCATTTTATGAAAAAACTTTATTGGCAAAGGAAGAACTTAGTTTAACATCCCATTGTATTTACAAGGAGGCTCTAGCCGACCTGTCGCGTTCATTAAGCACTGAACACACAGGGAGCTCCGGTCCATCTGACCGCCGAGGCTCCATGCACCGGGCTGCGTGGGGCTTCCTCCTGATCTTGGAGCCGCCCAGGCTGATTCGGACTCGCTTGCCTCCCTCCCAATATGTCCCTGTGTCAGGCTCCTTCTGAGGCGACTGGCTTCCCCTGTATATGACTTGAGGCAAGTTCCTTTCTGCTTTTTGAGCTGCACCAATGCCAGGTCTGTTTGCTCTGCCCGGGCATAGCAGAGACCAGAGCAGGATCACGTTCTGAGAGGCTAAGAGGCTTCCTCTGGATTTTTCATCTTCTACGGAGATGTTGTTAACGATGGCCTCTTGGCTGCCACTCTGCGCTTACCTCTTCTGCTGTGTGTCTTGGCGATACAACAGACAATGAGCAAACGGCCCTCGCTGGGGCCAAGGGAGCCTTCCTGCTTGCTCTGCAGTCGCTGGCTGGGTCACCAGAGGGTACGTGTTTGGGGAGTGGAAGCGGGGGAGAGTCTAGAACCCACAGAGGAGGCACGTGTGGACATGCTTGTCCCTGAAACTTAGGGCCTCGGGGAAGCGGTCAAATGGCCCCGTGGTTGCACTCCCACCGCTGTGCTGCACGTCCCTGTGGCTTGGTTTGAAATGCCTTTTTGATTGATTCTGCAATGAAACGATTTAGATTAAAGATTAAGAGGATATAATTTTAATAGAAAGCAATCTTACTAAGCTCTGTGTTTAAAAGCAATGCAAAATATCAGTAACAATTGTCTTTTACTCCTTGACTTGTTCGTCAAGTATTTTCCAACCAAATTATGGATATAGGTAAGCTAAAATTTACCTTTGCAAACATTTATTTGATAAAAACTTGTTCTCGAGTTTTTCATGAGATTTATTCCCTGAGAATTAATGTAGATGTGGCCCCTACATATCCTTTTGCAGTTGACCTATTTCTGCAGTTTCTGTTGGGGTTTTTGTGGCTAGGCTCCCATGACTTTCTGTAGCCAGCGTGGTTCCTCACACCGCTTGGTGAGGGTTCCAACTGGGAAAGTAGAAAAGCTCGAAGTCTGAGGTAAAGATTCTTTAACAGAAGCTTTGGGGAACAATTCTGGACTCAAGAGTCCCCAAATAAGACATGAATACTGACAGGCACACTGAACACCTTCAGTGGTTCTGCAGGCCGTCCACGGCGTTCCGGGGGATCAAAGGGCGCCCTGAGTTTGCAATGCTGGGTCCTTGGCAGCGTACTCCTTTGTGCCCATTTCTTTGCCTGTTCAGCAAACGTCTGTTTGTTGCCAGGCACTGTGCTGACCACTGGAGCTCTTATCTCTTACATGGTGATACAACCAATGATATGCAAACTTGACACACAAATGTGAAGAACGTACAGCCTTGTTCACGAGGAGTTTATAACCACGTGGGTCAGGCAGATGTACAGACCGAGTCATAACTCAGCGAGCTATGGCTGCTTTTGCATGTATCCTTGTGCCCTTCTGTCAGGGCCAACTTTTTGGGTATGTGACCTGTCTTGTCACACAGAGTCCTGTGCTTGGATGGGGCCCATGCTGAGGTTAACGTTCTGCTGTTACTATCGTGAAGTTTTTAATAAATTTTGAACAAGAGGCCTTGTATTTTCATTTTACACTGCGCCCCACAAGCTTGGAGCCAGTGCAGCTAATATGGATCCATTCGTTCAGTGCGTCCTCGGAAGGCCTCCTTGCTGCCAGCCCTGTTCGCCTAGTGAGCAGAGAGTGGACTCCCTGCCCTCAAGGAGGCTGGGCTGTAGGTGCAGAGAGAAGACAGGGAAAGTCAGCATAACAAACAACTTCCACCAAAGCAAGTTCTGAGATGAGGGACTGTGGAAAACCTGGAGCGGAGTACTCCAAGAGGGGCTGAGATTCTCAGTGAGGTAAGGAGCTGGAGTGTCAGATGAGGTTTCCATGTGTTTGCTGCTGTTAGTGTGTCTTTGGTATTACAACTGAAGAGTTTCACAAAGCCACAGAGATATGCAGAACCCAAGTGAGTTATTAGATATATTAATATATTTTAAATAAAATAAAAATATATATCAATATTTTTAAGAATTGTGGCTTTTGCAGAATAGGAAAAAATAAAAGTACAAAAGGATTATTGAATCTGACCTACCCAAATCAGGTGATAAAACATATGAAAGGAATACATTGGGGTCCAAAGGATCAAATACCTTTCGAGTTAGACAGAGAGACGTGAAATGTCATGAGAGGGCAACAGAGCAACAAAACAAAACCCTCAAATCGGAGCAAGCAGGGAGGAAGCCACCTATTCCTGAAAAGCAGGAAATAGGCTGAAATCGTGGGAAAGAAGGAAGCGAAATGGAATTTCAATCTGGGGTCGTAGGCTGGGGGGTCTAGCCCTCTGTGTTGTGGACTCGATACAATGACTTTTCAGCGTAACTTTGTCACAGTGACTGGAAGAGACCCTGTCTGTGCCATCTGCCCCCTGGGCAGGGCTTGAACCCTGCACCTCAGCCGCAGCGTTCTCTGGCTAATGTTGGATCTGGGCCCCCTGAGTCGGAAACCTCCACTTGCTTAGGATAACATAATGGCCTGCCTTGGTCCCTCCAGGCAGCTATAACAAACTGCCACAGACTGGGTGGCTTATAAGAAACAAAAATTTATTTCTCACAGTTCTGGAGGCTGGGAGTCCAAGATGGGGGTGCCAGCATGGTGGGGTTCTGGTGAAGTCCCTCTTCGGAGGCACAGACTGCTGACTTCTCGCTGTGTCCTCACATGGCAGAGGGGCAAGAGATCTCTCTCGGGGCTCCACCTCATGACCTGATCACCTCCCGAACGCGCCATCTCCTCACACCCCCACACTGAGCACTGGGATTCCGCTATGAATTCTGGGGGGACACACACATT